GTGTAACTGATTTTCTGGACCTGTTTCAGACTGGATTCAGAGCAGGACAAGGAGCTGAGGCTGCCTTGGTTGCTCTAGTGGATTATCTGTGACCCAGAATTGACAGGGGACTGTGCCCTTGTTGGCTCTCTTAGTGGCCTTCAATTGATCATAGTATTCTTCAGAGGGAATTGGGAATTGAAGGCACTGCTTTGCAGTGGTTCCATTCCTACCTCTCAGGTCAGTTCCAGATGGTGATGCTTGGAGCACAGATAGAAGACACGGTGAAGAGCATCCCTTTCTGGAGAATAATGACCTGAAAACAGTAGCACGTGCATTAGTAACTTCTAGGCTTGATTTCTGCAATACTCTCTGCATACCCTCATGCCTGCTCTGGAAACTGCAACAAATACAAAATACGGCAACCAAGCTGGTCTCTAGGACTTCATGGAGAAGCAACATATCACCTATTTTAAAATCCTTGCATGTGCTGTCAGACAGAATACAAGGTGTTGGTAATTAAAGTTCTATGTGGCTTGGGTCCAAAATACCTTTGGGGGCTCCTTTGCCCATCTATTCCACCTTGCCAGCTAAGGTCCTCTGGGAATAATCTTAAGTCTGGTTCTGTAAGATTAATGTCACAGGACTTTTTCAGTCTTAACCCTTAAGCTGTGGAATGGTCTGCCACGAGTCTTGTCTGATTTCCCAAATTCCCACCCTTAGGATGGATCTCAAAACAAATCTCTTCCAACAGACCTTCTGAGATTAGTTTTCATGTCAGTTTTATTTAATATGTTATCTTAGTCGATATTACTCACTGTTGGTTTTATTTTATTGTACACTACCCAGAGCCTATGGGAATGGGGCAATATATAAATATTAAGATAAATAAAGATAAATATTTGGATGTACATTCACATTTCGTGTACGTTTGAAATGGGATAAATCATGTGTGTATGTGTGAAACTGCCTTACCACAGCAGCCCATTGTGGTTTGTTCTGGTGCATGCTGGGTGTTTTTTAAATATCTCTTGAGCAGATTGAGGATGTGGCGTAGGTCTGAGTTTTAAAACATTCTGTGTTTTGCCAACATTGATAGGAGAAAAAAACCTTTAAAATATAAACCAGTACCTTTTCCCAGTACTGTCCATATAAATTGTAATTAATTTTTATTTTCCTATGCATATTATTATTAAGGAAACTGCACCTTCTCTTAGGGTGCAATACTATGCATGCTTAATCAGAAAAGTAACTCACAACATTCTTCAGTTGTAGGACTTCTTTTTCTATCTAAACATGCATTGGATTTTACACCTTGAAAGTTTTACCATGAACCATACAGGGCAGTTTCTAACTTTGCCAACATTATCTCAAGATTTTCTCTTCCAACTTGTTTATTCTAAACTAACAAATATGAATAAAAGTTGTTATTTACTTGGTACTATGCTATAACTTTTAGCCTAGGTTAGGCTATAGGTAATACAGCACAGAACTGTTTTTATTAATGTATCTAAGTGGAAAGCCTATTGGCAATAGGAGTGGAATGATATTTCTTGTAAATAAAAAATATTTGGATCTGTAAGATTATAATCTACTTAAGTAGAATACTTTTCCTCACATCCCAACTAAGTAATATTTAATGGGATTCTGCTTGCTTCTGATCATTGTATATTTATGTTTGCATCTTGCTTGTTGCCAGGAGGCATATATCAAGCCTAGTGTGTTTTAAGTATTCCTTCATGTTAATAACTTGATTCCATTTACTTTTAATTACAATATCCATGCATTAAAGATATCATTGCTTTCTCTCTTGGCACGGCTATAAAAACCAACTTGCTACAGTCTAAGGCATGGGTCCTCAAACTAGTGCCTGGGGGCCAGATCCGGTCTGCCATGCCCATTTAACCATCCCCTCCAGAGGTTTTGCACTTGCCTTGCGCACCTGGTGGCGGCTTGCTCGCGAGGAGGTTGTTTTGGACTTGCGAGGAGAAAACGATCTCCTTGCGAGCAAGCTGGCGCCTCACCCCGTGCTCCCCTTGCCCCCACCTCACCTCATGTGCGCGCATTCACATGCACCTCGTCTCCTCACTGCCCTGCCCCCCCCTTCCCCGCCAGCACCGCCTTGGTGGCCTGCGCACACCACTGGCCCCCTGTTGAAAAAGTTTGAGGACCCCTGGTCTAAAGGATCTGAACTGCAACTGTAATTTTACTAAATTTCCAGCCATCCATGGCCATAAAATACATAAAAATATGAGAGATCTGTATTAGCTTAATAAACAAAAGCAAGTTCAAATATCATTGTAACATTTCTGTTCATATGGAGATTAATGTATGAAATCTGCCTATATATAGCAAGAACATCAAATAAATTTAGCATCTGTGTTATGTGAACAAACTTGGGAATGCCTTCATGAACCCATCCCATAGTTGGGACATTTACAGTTACGTGTTCCAATCAAAAACTTCCCTGCATTTTGACAGATGGTTCTCAAAATTCCTTTTTCCTAGGAAATGGAAGGTGCACTTTCAGACCTGCCTCAAACACCTAGACGTTTAGGATAAATGCAAACAATGCAGCAGGATGCGGGGTGGGGGGAGGGAGTCAAGGATCCTCCTGTGAAGGAGATGCAAATTGCCAAACACTTCCTGCTTACATGTAAAGATCCCAAGGATCTTGGTTTCTCTTGACAAATAATCTTTTGACAGTTGTCAAAAATTTGTCTCCCTGGGGTCAGGGAGACTGTTTGAAGCCTCTTCAGGGCAATATGAAAAGCTTATACTTGCTGCATCTTTGGAGTAGGCAATTCCTCCCCTGGGGACATTGCCCCAGTCAAGGCTTCAAATCCCTGTGTTTATGTAACTGTGAAGATTTGCACTTGTTCAAAGGTAGTTAAACATTTCTCCCCCCAACCCCTTTGACTTTATTTTATTTTGGTTTTGGCACAATTTTTAAAAGGCTTAGACAGTCATGAGCAGCCCAGTAAGGTGCTGCTTGGGGTTTTTAAGGGGCTTGCAGTGACTGTCAAAAGGAGAATAGCAAAAGCTGGCTTTCAAGCCAATCTTCACAGTATCTGAAGAAAATAGTCTGAGAGAGCCCAGAATGCATTTGGTGGGGAGCAGAGGAGTGAAACCAGGGCCAGCTGCTCCCAAGTGCAACAGATTTGGGGGTGTTTGGTGTTAGCAGTCAGCCAGGAGCCTCTTATTGAGTATGTTAAAGCATTGTCACTGCTCTTGCCAAGGGGCTTAGTAGCTGATTCCCTGTATCCCTGATGGGCTCAGCCACCCAGAGCTGGATAACATGACAACACACTGGATACAGCAAGCCCTACAATAGTCAATTGGTTGTTGGAGTGGCTTGTTGCCCACAGTCAAAGTACCTTGGGGAAACTGGTCTGGGTTTGTACAACATTACCCATCAGCCAGTCCATGTTACATTTTTATAAAGCTTATGGTCTTTAGTATTTGAAATGTTTCTTGGTTTTATTAAGTTAAGGAATGTAACCAGAATTTTACATTGATTCTCTTTTCTACTTCATTCAGTGCTGCCCTTCCAAGTCACAGTCTTCTTCACTTTCATGGTTGTAATGCCCTTTGATTAGATGACTGAGCCAAGATAAGCAAAATGATTCACAATTTCAATTTCTTCATTGTTGACATTTGTATATTTTCTGTAGTCATGATTTTTATTAATGTTTAGCTGCAGTCCTTCATTTTCACTGCTTTCTTGTTCATCAGGAGACTTTTCAATGCATTGCTGCTTTCTGCCAGTAATATGGTATTTGCATATCTTAAATTATTGGCTCATCTTCCATCAATTTTTAGACCTGATTTCTCTGATTCATATCCAGCTTTTCTTATGACATGTTATGCATACATATTGAAAAGATAGGGAGAAAAAATATGCCCCATCTCATGTCTTCGCCTATAGAAAACCATTCTGTTTTTCCATATTCTGTTCTAACAGTAACTAATAGAGGTTATGTATCAGGACAATCAAGTAATGAGGCATCCCCATTTTTTAAGAACCATCCATAGCATCTCGTGATTCACACAATCAGATGTTTTCTGTAGTCCATAAAATATCTACTCTTCTTCTGAAATTCTTTGGTGCACTCCAGTTACAGACATAAGTTTCCAGTAAGATCTCAGATGCCTCTTTTTGGAATTCAGCTTGAATGTCAGGCATTTCTCGCTCCATAAAAAGGTGAAATTCTTTATTGCAACACCCTGAGCATGACAATGTTTCAAAAATTAAATAAACCTGGTCATATCTTCCTGTCTACCTTTAGATTTTTCTTTTTCATACAACTATGTAATATCTATGATGCATTTTTTTAAAAGAAAACTAATCCACTCTCCCTTTGGAGTCCAGTTCATGTAATGAATGTTTCTCTGTCTTTATGAACTATGGGCTTGATCTGTAAATTGCTACATTAGCAGCTCATACCTGAGGTATAAATACAAGCTAGGTACTACCAACTGACATCCATACAAAACACCTGGAAGGTGTGTGTGTGTGTGTGTACATGCAAGAATGGTTTTTAGTGTGGCATCACTAGCTTAGAAAGGAGGATTTTCTCTTGCATAGTACTTATGAGCAGATATATGTAAGTTCTCCCTTGCTTACTTCATCAAAAAAATCTCAAACCTTGAAGGCAAAAAAGTAGCGAGGCATAAAAGAAGTATTAAAGCTGGAAGGAGGAGAGACATGCAACAAGTGATATGGAAAGCGATATGATAGGTTGTCATGTCATCTGAGCCAGGTTAAAGTTTTCTAAAACCATATTTCTTAGAATGTAGCTATACTGTTTGAACTTGTTTGGAGCCTCTCTAGTTACTTGTTTTGTTTTTAGTTTTCATTTTTGTAATAAACACTGGGAATGCTGCAGTTTTGAAAGGTAAATAAGAAATGTGTATTATAATAGTGATAATGATACAGAAGTAGTTTCTAAAACCTTCAGAGCTTCTTTTCTTTTTCCACGGAGAGATTCTAACTAATCTAATCTTTAATTTTTTTGCAGTGAACACCTACCTCTTCATGATGCAAGCTCAAGGCATCATGATTCGTGAAAACATGAGAACGATAGGAGCTCAGGTTTATGAACAGGTGGTCCGCAGTGCCTATGCCAAGAGGAACAGCAGTGGGAATGATTCAGGTATATTTTATAAACCTTGTCACCTGTGTGAACTAAATTTGCACCTGCAGCCTAGGAGATTGTGAGCTGCACTGTCTGAAGTTTCAAGAGATTCAGTGATGAGGATGGCATTTATAAAACTGCTGAAGTCTGCACTTTACCTTTGAGGGTAAAAGGCACTACTTTGCCTCTTAAATCCCAACTTCCCTCAGATAGTGGCCATTCCTGTTAAATATTTGATATGTTACCTGAAAAAGGAACTTACACCAATATGGAGTATTAGTCCATTATATTTATATGAGAGATTAAACTTGCAGATAATGACACGAACTGCCATTAATCCTAAACCAGTTCCTTGGAGGCAGCTTCTGTCATTACTTCTAAAAGAAACATAAAAGGGTACATAAGGTACAGTTAACTCAGCCATGAATGCACCAAGCCAGTAGTTCCATGAAAATGCAGTATCTGAACAATAACACATGTATATTTATCTATGTTTATAGCCTGCCTTATGTCCTTTCAAAGAACCCAAGGCAGCTTACACAATGCTCCTCCTCCTATGATGTATGGGCTGAGTCTGTGACTAGTCCTAAGTTAACCAGTGATCTCCTTGGCTAAGCAGATACTAGAACCCAGATCACCTGAGTCACAGTCCCATATATTTAACCAGTACACCACACTGACATATAAATAAATCCAGAAGTAGTTCTATAATTCATGCCATATCTTTTGGATGGCCATTTTGTAGTCCTGCCAGTAGTCTAGCCTGAATCTGGATGGTCGGAACTTGAGCTGATTATTCCATGTCCTATGGTATCAGCAAGAAGAGATCTTGACCTTCCTCTTTGTGACAGCCTTTCATGTACTTGTGGAGTGATATCATGCCCCCCCACATCTTCTCTTCTGAAGGCTGAACGTGCCCATTTCTCTCAGGATATTTCACATTAGCATATTTATTATGTGGATAATAAATATTCTAATTTATTTTGGGGATGTGGATGAAATACGGATACTTATTTCCATATGTGGTGGGAAAGTGAAAATATTAAGAAATTTTGGTTATTGATTTTTAAGGATATTAGTAAGACATTGAACTTAAAAACTGAAGCAGATCCTGAAATAGCATTGTTACTAATGTTTTGTGAAAAGCAATGGAATATTAAATAATTAATAATAAATTTTATATCCTCAGCAAAATTGTTAATAGCAAAGAAATGGAAGGAGAAATGGTATCTCCAATTATTTTTTAATTTTTATTTTGTGTAATATGTGTTTTTTCTTTATTATATGGTTTTTGTATTTGTATCTTATAAAAAATAAAAATAACCTGTTGTCTACAATAACTCCTAAGTCTTTTGGATCGGTTGAGCCACCTGTTCCCCATCTTACATCGATGCATTGGGTTTCTTTTTCCTAGGTGGAAGACTTGAATCTTTATTGAATCTCATTCTGTTGCTTTCAACCCAGCAGTCAAGCTTATCAAGATCTTTATTCCACCCAGTTTTTAGTTAGAACTTGAAAGATGGAGAGGATGCATGAGGGGAGGTAATATCTTAAACTTCATGTTGGACCTTGAAGGTCCAGTTTGACTATAGAAGCAGGCTCACAAACCCTTCCCTAGCTCCATTTGTGGATTCTGGAAAGATGTCTGGAGTCAATTGAAGAACTGAATCTCAACTAGAATGCAATTCATATTGCTTCTTAATTTCTGTAGGGAAACATAGTATATCTTACCTTTGAGCCATAGACTTGTCAGAGATCTACCTGATCTGTCTTCCCCGATTATACTTAATGCTGAAGTCTAATAACACACAAATCATTTTGCAGTATTTGTAGGATGTTCAGTAAGGGTAGGGAAGAGATAGGCTTGCTATGTCTGGACTAAACACAAATGGACACACACCATTCACACATGTCTGCATTCCATGTTTGTATGGTCAGAGTACTTCACTGCATACATGTTATGAGCTGGGATGATGGTCGTGCACTAGTGTTCTAAATAATGTTTATGTTTATTACACCCTCAAGTGGGTAGAATATTTCATAGAAACCCTCCTTTTTTAGTGTTGACACAGAACCCTTAATTGCAACATCTGCTTTGTCTTAAGTGTTACGTAGTGTCCTAGAGCAATGTAATTTAATTTCTTCGTCGTGGCCTCTGTGCATCACACATATGGGTGCTGCGCCTGCGCAGTGCCTTTGGCCAGAAGATTACAAGCTAACGGTTTATTTTGGTGGGAAAAAGCTCCGCTCCCCCTCCCCCACAGCCTATAAAGAGCAGAGCGTCCGCCATTTTGTTCAGTCTTTGCGACCGCCGTTCACTGTGCCTCGTGCCGCTTTTGACTATCGCTTTGATCGTTACTCGTAACCTGTTTTTTCTCCTTTTACTCCCAGTTTTATATCCCTGATAGTTCTTGTTAGCTCTAGTTATTTCTACAGTTCTTCTTAGCTCTAGTTATTCTGCAGTTCTATTGTTCTACCATTATATTTTCTTCTTCTAAAAAAAACAACAAAAAAAAATTCTTACCCTCTGCACTGTCTCCCTTTTTCTTCTTCTTGCGATGGCGCAGCGAGCGGCCTTCCGCAAATGTGCGGAGTGTGGGTCGAAGATGTCACCATCTGACCCGCATGACCTATGCCTCCTCTGCTTGGGGGAGAGGCATAGGACCAACAGGTGCTCCCACTGTCTGGCCTTCTCCAAGCAGGCCAGAAAAAATCGGGAGAACCGCCTCCGGAGGCTCCTGTGGGATCAGGCTATTATGCAGTCCGACCCACTGGTCACCGCTCCGAAGCCTGGCCCGGCTGCAGTGGTCGCGCCCTCCCACCTGTCGGACGAAGGTGCCTCTACTTTGAGGGCCCCACCAGCTTCTCCCAAAAAGAAAAGCAAGAAGCGCAAGCATGCCAATGCTGACAAATCGGCCAAAAAGGCCAGGAAAGAGAAGCCCTCTAAGCCGGCCCGAAAGGTGAAGGATCCGGACCAACCCCGACACCGTGTCTTGGGTTCGACGGCAGCATCGGTACTGGCGCCAACCACCGTACCGACCCCACCCGAGCCAGCGCTCCAGGCAGCCATGAGGGTTACCCCTCAAGGGTTTCCCTGTTGTGTGGCTGACCCCCCAACCGAACTGCTTCCATCTCTCCAGCGGGGCTCAATCTCTGACGGAGAGATTCAGGACTCTCCCCCCAGGGCTAGGTCACAAACGCCTATGCCCATGGCCACACTGGAGGCGGATGTCGTTGAATCCCTGCCCAGGTCCCGCCGGAGCTGCTCCAGGGAGCATTGATCCGAGCAGCGATCCGAGCGATTCGAGGACTGGCATCACTCCTACTACCCATCTTGGGGCGAGCCATACTCGACTGGGTACTATCCCGCGCCGAGGGATCGGTCCCCACCACGCTCTCATGATCGTCCACTGCCTCTAGATTCAAGGCACACATCCCCAGTACCCCGGGATGAAAGCAGCTGGTCCACTTCTCCAGTGGAGTCTTCTTCGGCCCCTCCGTACTATGGCGCAGACTCCGATGACTCGGACATCGATTCTACCTCTCCCGACATCATGGTGACCTCCCAGGGCCCCGCATCACCGGACGAGTCGCAAGTTTCTTTTGCGGAGCTGATGTCCAGGCTCTTACAATTCCTGGACATCAACGCTGTCCAGCGGCCAGGACCGTCTACAGATAAAGTCGTATGATGTCCACGGGGAGCAGTCCACCTCCATCATCCTGCCCTTGATCACCACCCTACGGCAGGCGATGACGCAGCCCTGGGACTTGCCCTCTCACCCTCATCCAACATTGCGGAGGTACGAAGCCATGTACCGGGTTCGGGAGGAGGACATACCATTCCTCCTCTGACAGCCCAAGCCGAACTCAGTCGTGGTGGAGTCCTCCCAGGGAAGAGAGGCAAGGGGTCACACTGTGCCGCGAGATAAGGAGGGCCGCAAGATCGACTCCCTGGCCAAGAGGGTTCAGGCTTGGGGCTGCGTATCTCAAACTACGAGGCGATGTTGGCGAGACACCAGTATTTTATAATGCAGCGCCTCCACAACGTCGTCTCGGCCCTCCCAGACCAACAAGGCGAATTGGCCAAAGTCTTGATTAAGGAGGCAATGCACGTCGCGGTGCAACAGTTGTCCACAGCCAGGCACCATGTGGACACTAACTCGAGGGCATTCGTCCGTGCCGTTTCTCTTCGCAGGCATGCGTGGCTGAGGAGCGCCAACTTCCCCGAAGAGACCAAGCGGCGCATCGAGGAAATGCCCTTCGATGGGTCCGGGCTTTTCCATTCAAAGATGGACCATAAACTTAAAAAACTTCATGAGTTCTGCATGACGGCCCGATGAATGGAGCTCCAGTCGCTTCCGAGGCGTAAGTGGCCATGGAACCGTCTGCCCTACAGACAGCCGTATCATCCCAGGAAACAGCCTGAGCACAGGCAACAGCAACAGCAGCAGCGCTGTCGACAACAGCCCCAGCAACGCTACCAGCAGGGCCGTCGCCGATATGATGACAGGAGGCAGCGTTGACAGGACTGGCGAACCATTCTTCTATCCTATACCCACCCCCCTTTCATCTGGGGACCGGCTGCGAAGCCAACTCCCCATTTGGGAGTCCATCACATCTGATGGATGGATATTATCTATCATACAGCCCGGCTATAGGATAGAATTCGACACCATTCCTCCATCAAGTCCAATTCGGTTTACATCTTGCACACCAGTACCGCTCAATGAAATACAACAACTTCTTCATAAAGGAGCGATTCGTCAAGTAACTCAATATGACGGGCATCACGGATTCTATTCTAGATACTTTACCGTTCCCAAACGGGACAGTGCCCTACATCCAATTTTGGACTTGCGTGGTCTGAATCGATTCATCGTGACGAGGAAGTTTCGAATGACCACTCTCCAAAATATTTTGCCGCTGCTTAGGAAAGAGGACTGGTTTGCCTCATTGGACTCGAAGGATGCCTATTTTCATATTGCAATCCATCCCAAATATAGACGTTTCCTTCGTTT